GTGACTTCGCAATATATGTTTTTTTTTTTACATAAACTGAAAATGAAAAAAAAGCTTAGTTTATTTTTAAAAATAATAAATACTATTTTAAAATTTTACAATGTTGTAGGTAAAAATACTTTTCTAAATCATTTTGCCTTGTTTTTTTACGTCATTTTCAAAATTAACCTATAAATAAATAAAATTGTTAGACTAATATAATTTTTGAAAATAATTAAACATATATAACTCTTTCATATTATTTTGATGCTTTTCGAATAATTTATATTTAAAAAAAATTTACTTGTTATATTTTTGTCTGATTTGTTGAAAATTGTCACTCACATGTTTAATAAAATTAAACCACTAAAATTTTAGCACACAATAATGTAAATTGGAATTAATTGTAACTTTAGAGTCCTACTATACATTAAGTAAATAGTTTTGAATTTAAAAAGCATTGCTTAATGGTTTTAAATTTTTTTTTTTCAAGTCTGTTATCATTGTAAAAAAATTTTCAACTATTGTTTTATTATAAAGCACTGTAAAACGTAATTAAAGATTTACCTCTGATATTTGCTCTTGTATTTGATAAAGAGAAATTATATTAATCTTTTACAATCTTAATAATAATGGCCGGGATATGCTGGTTGGCAGGGCTCAGGACTCACGTTCGTGGGAACGAGAGTTCGCATCCAGTAAGCCAAAGAATCCCCGTGTAGTAAATGGTGACTGATGCACATTAAATCTGTCCGGTCACAAAGTCCTCCATGTTCCTATAACAAATTAAACCCCTGGGGATACTGAATTGGAGATTGATCAATCTCTGTTTCAGGTCACAATTACTATCTGTGGATGAATGAATAGGTCCATCCTATGAAAGGGTGTGACGTATGGGTGTGGCAGAAGTCGAATTCTTGGCCGTAGATGACACCAATTGAAGCAAGGGCAATAGCAGCCCTTGCTTTAATGGCTTACGATGACAACAACAACAATATTAATAATACATCGATTTGAATTTTATAAGAAAAATTATCAATGTTAACAGACATGACGTAAAGTAAAAGAAATTACATCTTTTAAAATATAATAAAGTGTTATATTTAATTTATCTTTCAAAATAATAAACAGAGTCCTTGCACCAGGTATATCCATACCCATTAAGACTTCTTGGTCACCTGCTCGCTTAATAACAGCCTTCTCAATCTGTAGCCTTCTCAGCCGTGACCAGTCTCATAAAATGATCACGATTTATATTTAAAATTGCTCATAGCTATGATTTTGTTTAAAAGGGGGAAAAAATTGATATTTCACTGTGGGACCATCCGAAAGTGTCGATTCTGGTGGGATTTAAAGTTGATCTAATATTTGTTAAAATTGAGTCTAAATCGCAGCTGGCTCATGATCATTTTAACACTATGAAATTTCATGGGGGGGGGGGAACTAGATTCTCTCTCTCTCGCTTTTTTTTTTCTTTTTTTCTTAAATGCAAAATTCTAATTCATGAAAAAACTTGTTTTCTTGAACCTCCAAGATGATTTACTTGAATTTCTGTGGCAAGTTTGCAAACTTAACATTTTGAAATGCTGAAAGCTTTCTTAACAATTTTAGTATACATGATATTGCTGTCTAATGTTGAAATTGTAATCTGCTCATATCAGTTTTGAATTTTGTTATCAGTTCAGAAATGCTAGTCTTCATTATTTTTTTCAATATAGCATGCACTCTTTTCTTTTTGTCCATACTAGCTTTGATCATCTAATTTATTGGACTAAGTTTACCATTTTATTTCATTGCTGGCTTCATTAAAACTTGTATGAATTCATAACATTTGTAAGTAATATGTATATTGTCCGCTGTTTGTAATACAAAATAAAATGGACTAAGCCAAATTAATACATGCATAAAATGGACTAAGTCTTGTAAACGCGTTAAATTCTGTAAACTTTCACATAAACGTTAACTGATTGTTTAAATTTCACGAATCTTCTGTTTATTATTATTTAAAATAATGTAAGTAGGTCTAACCAACCCCCTGAAAAGAAATTCTGATCTTGACCATCTATCACGGAAAAAAGTGACCACTTGTATTAAAATAAACAACGCAATTAGAGCCTGAGTTTTTAAATGAAGAAGAATTAGTCCTTAAATGCTGGCTGCTGTTAGTCGTTTATTACAGCAATCGACGAACACTGTTATTGACTACAGATAATTACTACTATGTAATTAATTGCTTTTAATCACCATAACAAGAAATTATGATCTCTAGATACGTGTAGTCATGATTACATAGCAAAACAAAGGTTACAGGTAATCATGATTGCAGGGAATCAAAATTTATGATTATATGCAATCATAGTTACAGCGAATCAAAATATATGATAAGGAAATATCAGGATTAAAAGTAATCATGCATGTACTACAAGGAACAATATTTAAAGTTAAAAGCAATCAAATAAGTAATGATTACATGTCAACTTGATCACAGCTAATAAAAAAATTTGAGATTAAGTTATAACAATTAGCAGTAATTATAATCTGAAAAGTAATAGTAATCATGAGTAAGAGTAACTATAACTTGCGATAACAGTACGAATTCTGGTTATCAAATCTATGTAAGATACGACTAACAGTGTACGTAAATACATGCAATGTAAGTACCGTGCGGAACACCCTGAATAACTTTTGAACCTAATGATCTGATTTTCACGAACTAAGACTCAATCTTAATTGTTTAAAAGGATATGTAAATTATCCTTACATATGTTAATTAATTAGTGCAAACAATGTTTTAAATTACGAAAGACACAAAAACGAACTTTCTCTGAATACCTTTTTTTTCTTCCTCTTTCTTTTTTATTTTTTTTATTTTTTATTTTAATGATTTGGATTCTTGGCCCTTAAAATATGGTAAGTTGCCACAGTCTGGGAAATATGGTCCCATTAGTTTGGTTAAGAGAACAGTCGAAAATTTGGACACCTTAATATTAAGTTGTCCAAAGCGGGCACCTTAGTTGCTTATTTTTGCGTATTTCAACAGATTTCATGAACTTTTTAAGCGAATTCAAAATTTTGCAAAGAATTATAAAATTTGTTTGCCCGAAAATAATTCCTCGCAAGAAATACGTATTAATATTTTTTTTTTTTATTTAATATTTTTCTTATTATTTTTTCATTTTATTTAATATTTTTTTATTATTTTTTCATTTTACTTAATATTTTTTCATTTTATTTAATATTTTTTCATTTTATTAAATATTTTTTTATTTTAATATTTTTTTATTTTATTTTATTTAATTTTGAATAGTAAGGGATAAAACATTTTATCTAGTTCTTATAAACGCAATTTTATGTAACAAAATATAGAATTTAAACGTAATCGGTTAAATATTTTCTGAGTAATCAAATCATAAAAAAATCGTACATTTAAAATTCGATTTCTTGAGAACTATTTTATTAATTTCGGTTGAATTTTGTTTTTTTACCATTATATGGTGAAATGCAAAATTTGATCATTGAATTTTTAAACCTTACTATTCAAATTTTCTCGACTTTCAAGAAATAGAATTTTAAAATATAATTATTAAAAATTATATTTTTATGGAACTATCGTTTGATGAACGAATTGTATTATTGTGTGCAAAAAATTTTTAATTCGCTTAAAAAGTTTTTGATATTTTCGTTTAAAGTCTAAACAAAAGTGTATTTAAATTTCAAAAGCTCTTTCTTGATACTTTTAAATAAGTATCAATTAAGATTGAAACAAAAATAACTAAATGGCAACCTGTTAAATCAAATGAAATAAATCGAATAAAAATTTTGGGAAGCTTTATATGCTCTAAAAAGTTCCTAAAAAAAGGGGGGGGAGTTATTCAATTTTGCTATTAACATTGTGATGCAAAGTATTTTCAATTACAATTTTCGAAACCATCCTATTTCATCTTATTATTGGTCATATCAGACTACTTGGTTAATTTTGTACTCAACCTTGAAGATCAAGCGTCGGGACCTTCGTTTGTTGTCAAACCCATGAAGAGGAATGTTGGGTTAGCCCGAAGGTTGGTGGGATCAATCAGCCATCGCTCTAATTCAACATTCTATTAAATTAGCTTATCTTAAATACAATAAGATATCTTTAAAATTTTTGCCATGATTGAGAAGGAAAGAAGAAAGTTGAGTTAACCCGGAGGTTGGTGGGATCGAGCAGTCATTGCTCTAATCCAACAGTCTATTATATTATACCTTAAATACAATAAACACATCTTTAAAATTTCTGCCATAATTGAGAAGGAAAGAAGAAAGTTGGGTTAGCCCGGAGGTAGGTGGGATCGATCAGTCATCGCTCTAATCCAACAGTCTATTATATTATACCTTAAATACAATAAATATATCTTTAAAATTTCCGCCATAATTGAAGAGGGAAAGAAGAAAGTTGGGTTAGCCCGGAGGTTGGTGGGATCGATCAGTTTTCGCACTAATCCAACAGTCTATTATATTATACCTTAAATACAATAAATATATCTTTAAAATTTCTGCCATAATTGAGAAGGAAAGAAGAGAGTTGGGTTAGCCCGGAGGTAGGTGGGATCGATCAGTCATCGCTCTAATCCAACAGTCTATTATATTATACCTTAAATACAATAAATATATCTTTAAAATTTCTGCCATAATTGAGAAGGAAAGAAGAAAGTTGGGTTAGCCCGGAGGTTGGTGAGATCGATCAGTTTCCGTACTAATCCAACAGTCCATTATATTATAACTTAAATACAATAAATATATCTTTAAAATTTCTGCCATAATTGAGAAGGAAAGAAGAAAGTTGGGTTAGCCCGGAGATTGGTGAGATCGATCAGTCATCGCTCCAATCCAACAGCCTATGAAATTAGCATACCATAAATACAATAAAAATATCTTTGAAATTTTTGTCATGATTGTTCTTTTTTTTCTCCTTAAGATGAATTGCTATAAATATCATTTGAAATATTTCAGAATATATATTAATTTTAGAATTTATTTTTCAGAGACAGACGAACAAATCCATGCATTGATACGGTCTTCATCTTTTGAAAATATCAAGGATCAAAATCCTTTTTTGTTTTGTGGAAGAAATAGTCGGTCATTACCTGACTCACCCACCCAACTAAACTTTTCTTTTGATTTTCCCTCGGAAGAAAAGGTAACTATTAAAACTATTATTATTTTGTTAATTCTTATGATTCAAAATAATTCTATTAATATTACTTCATTCGGCCCCTTTTGTTAATAAAGGTGTTTATTTAAAATTGAATTGCAATGCTCAAGTTAAGAAATTTCCATTTGTAAAGTAAAATACTTCTTAATAAAATTGACAGAAAATGAAAAACATTGTGGAATAATTTTTAGAACATAAAAATGGATGTTAAGCAAACTATAGATAGTTAATTTGGTGGCCAATTGAGTGGATTTCAAGAAATTAGATTAAGAGAAAATATACTTTATGTTTTCCTCCTTTTTAATTCTGTTTTTCAATTTTTAGTTCACCGTTTTTATCATTCCTTATTTTTTATCACCTCTGAATTGAAATAAATGATCTCCCTTTTTAGAAAAATTCCAAAATCATGCCTATCATGCTTAATTTCACTACAGTATAGGAGTATTTTCTCAATATATTTTTTTACAGTATTCACTACAGTATAGGAGTATCTTCTCAATATACAGTTTAAAATTCTTAGGTTTCACTCAAGTTCAGGATCATTGGCAGGTTGGGTGACCACTTTGATCAACCTGCGAAAGGATTGACAGTTTCTCGTTATGCTGTAAAGTGCTCGACTTTGAGCCCAGGTCGTCGGACTAGCAAAGCCATACCCTCTGCAGAGGATCAAATTTTTAATGGCATCGTCCTCGGGAATATTTCCCTGGCAGTCGCCAATAGCCCATTGTGCGTCCCTTTGTTGTCAAGCTTACTGTGGGAGGTTTTTTGTGCTTTCCTCTCCATGTAAAGCAAATGCTGATTTGCTCCATCAAAAAGTCTACCACGAAAGCAAACTTTTTTACTCCCAAAACTTGATCCAGGAGTTCCACTACCTTCTAGAATTACAAGGCTACGGAGTTGAACATTGGTAGTCGTAAACTCAAAATTATGTCAGCTGTTCAAAGACAGTTATAAAATTGCCCTTTGTGCAGTTCTAGTTCTGCGTAAATAAATTACGTCTACTACCACCTAGGTTTTGCTAACAATGTTCATTTGTTAAGAATATTTTACTATTTCGCCATTTCACACCCAGTTTTATGACCTGATTGGTTAGTTTTTAGCGGGAGAATATATTTCACCAATCAGGTTCTCATTCTCTCTTGACAACAATCGAGGATACATGAATCGCATGCAGTGTGAATGGCTTTTAAACCATTTATTGGGGTAGGCAGGTGGCATAAAGAACCTTTTCTCCCTGGATGCGATTTTTTTCGCATACGAACGGAATCTGATTGGCGGGTTTTTTATGGGTAAATATTTTCCACCAATCTGGTTCTCATTCACCTGCGAAAAAATCGCATTCAGTGAGAACAGTTAATTAATGGTGAAAAAGAATAAAGAGGCTTCCGGGTGATTATTTCTGATTGATTTTTCGCCAGAATCTAGAATTTACGCCATCGTTAAAATTTTGAGGAATTGTATTTATTTGTTACAAAGTTATTCCTTTACAAACTACTGTTTTTCTAACTTTTTTAACATTTAGAATGATTACGAGTAGAAAAAAATTTTATTTCGATGATGAAGCAAATATATAACCAAAATAAGTGATTCAATAGCACTCAAAGATAAAATTTCATAAATTTTTTGTAATCGATTATCTAAAACATTTTTAGTTCAATTTAGGTCTCGAAATATGAGGGTTTTAGGGTCTATTCTGATTTTAGTAAGCTTGTGGTTCTTTACACATCACTTGTTATTGGGGGAAGGGTTGTTAGGATTCAAATTTTTTTTTTCCCCTGGTAAAATTGTTACTATTTACCATCTGATACAATGTTAAATTTTCTTGTTTTTTCCAGGTTCCTTCTTCGTGTAAATCTACATTTTATGTTCCTATAGAAGACCTTGCAAAAAATGAATCTTGTGAGAGTCTTACTATGATGCTGCCATCTACCGATCTGAATGAAAAAGAATCCAAAGAAAATCGTGACACTGATGATGGTAATTTAGAAAACAATTACGAAAATTTAGATCCAATTTATGAAGAACTGAATGATATTTCCAGTACAAAACGTAAGTAAATTACATAGTTCATTATTAGACTGTTATGCCTGTTACTGCTATTGACCTCCACCATTATTTTCGAAAATGTTAAATTATTAATTTTATTTACTGATTATATAACTCGTAATTATTTTATTATAAATATATTACTTTACATGTAATTTTATATAATTTAGTTTATTTACTAATTGATAATATAATAACTTAGTTACTTTATTTAAATCAATTCATAAAAGTTTTTTTATTGCATTAAAAGAGTTGTTTTCAAAAAACACTTTAATTTTGTAAGAAATTCTTTTTTTAAAATAAATTCGTTTGAGATGATATTTAAATATTTTTAAAGCTTCATAACATAAAAAGAAGAAAAATTGCATTGATAAGTTTTTTCATTAGAATATTGTCTTTAAGTACTTCTTTCGAATTTACTGATTTTATTTTATGTTAAAAATTAATTATAATAATAAAGGGTGCAAGCTTGATTAAAAATATACAAGAATCGAGAAAGGGAGATGACACATATCTCTTTTAATAATAATAATAGATACTAAGAGTAGAATTAAAATATAAGATAATTTATTCAGAATAGTGAAGTCTTGGGACTAAAACAAGAGGAAAGAATCTTTCTTTTTTTAATTTTAAATTCTCATATGAAAGTAAAAACTAATTCTTACGAAAAATTTATTTCCGCTGGCACTATTGATGATTGAATCGGCTTGTGCATCACAAAACCTTTGGAAAAACTTTTAACCATCATTAGCGTGTGGATAGCCACAGGCATAGGAAATATGTTATTCTCTCTGTCTTGATTTTCAAACTGATTGAGATTTGGAAACTATATGAAACTGCATCATTGACATTTTTAAAAATATTTTTGACAATCTAAAAGTATAACAAAAGTAGAAAGCAACACATCTAAAAAGAGGAAAGCTACCAAAGAATATATTGGGAGTACAAATTAGCTCGGTCCATTTTTTTGTGGTCAAAAATGAATTTACTTCAGAGCAAAATGAATGAACAGATTAATCAAAGTACTGTCCATCGCTGGCTTCTACTTTTTCCCACTTCTCAGGCAATTTTCGAATTCCATCTCGAAAAAATGTCTCGTGTTTTGAGGCGATCCAAGTTAGGAGCCAATTTTCGATTCATGCGAAAAAAGTGAACTGTTGACCTGACAAATCATGCTGTATCCGTCTGAATAACCAGTAATCAGAAGGAGCAATGTCCACGGAATACAGCGGGTGTGGTGAAATATCCCACTTGAGCTTTTCCAAATAATACCGTTATTATGCAGAAGAATAACTTTGCCATGTCCTTGCTCGTATTACGGCCGTTTTTCTCGTAATGCACGGCTCAAACAAATCAATTGTAGCCTATACCGATCACCCGTAATGGAATCACCAGATTGTAGCAGCTCATAGTATACAACACCATTCACCATTCTTGAAACGTCGAAACCATTCCCTACATGATTTATCAGTTGAAGCATTGTTACCACAAACTTCTACAAGCATTCGATGCTCTTCAACTGCACTTTTCTTCCAATTAAAGCAGAAACATAAAACCTCCCGCAAATGCTGCTTCGTTACCGCAAAATTTGACGTATTCAACAAAGTAAAAAACAGGGTGTTTGTATGAAACTTAAAGCGATATAAACTGCATATTATTGACAGATGCTTAACCTCTCTGAAACCACCGAAACCAGCTGTCACTATATAACATTCATAACAGCAGAGCCATCTTTTGAAAACGGACCGAACTAATTTGTATTCCCAATAGAAATCCGTAACTAACGTGGGGTGCTGCGTGCGATACTCTGTCTTGATTTTCAAACTGATCGAGATTTGGAAATTATATGAAACTGCCTCGTTGAAATTTTTAAAAATATTTTTGACAAATTAGAAGAATAACGAAAGGTGAAAATGGTACATCTAAGAAGAAGGCTACCAAAGAATATAGAAATAGTAACTAATGCTGGGTGCAGAAATACAGAAGAGCGTCATATGTCCTAAACAGAGTGACAGTCACCTACAATTCTACACGCACGCTTTCCTTCTATCTCAAAATATATGTTAGCAGATTTAATCAACATTCATAATCTAAATTAGTTCTCAATCTTTGCACAGTACTCTTTATAAATAGTGCAAACATGCAGTGAAATCAATAAACATATACTCCCCAGTAATAGTAAGGAGGCGGAAAATCCGTCTCTAAAACCTCTGCTGCTGTGCCCCTAAGCGTTGCTTTTTCCTTTACACACAGGGACCTTAATATGCCTTGGAGGGCAGATTTACATTATGTCTATCGAAACTAGCCTTCTTATCCTTTGTATATTCTTTGTTCGAGCTTTGTATTTAGCTTTAATTATTTTTTTTAAAAAAAAAGAAACATTATTGAGGTACACAATAAATGAAATTTTCAACAGTATAAATTGAATTAATTTCAGTTTAAAGCATTTTATGAAAATGGAATTTTTAGCTGTTTAAAAAAATATTGAAAATAAATTTAAATGAAGAAAAATAACTATTAAACTTAAAAAAAGGAACACATATTTTGATTATTTATTTTATAGACATTTTTTTTAATTGAAATTTTGTTAATTAAGTTAGATGAATAAATATTGAAACGATATACTTTTCTGCCTACTTAAATTTTAAAAATTATTTTTAATATTCTAGAAGCCATTTTATTAGACTGTTTCTTATTTCGCTTTGAAAAGAAGAAAAAATTATAATCCAAACAAATTAGAATTACCTTAATGCTAGCATTTAACATTCACTTATATAAATAAATAATCCCAAGAAACAGTAGCTGTATGATATTACTTGATTAAAAAACTTCATTCGCTCAAAAAATTCATCGAAGGTAAATAATGGTCAACATGTTTCAAGTTCTTCCAAAGCAGGGGCCCATTTTAAAAATTTGCCAGACGTGAATGAAAAAAAACCAAAGTGTTTTGATAAACAAAACGTAAAGTTGCCAACGAAAAATGGAAAAACAAAAGATAAGAAACCAAACGAGAAAAACTACAGTAGCTGAAAGAGAAAAAAGATAAAAAAGAGAACAAGAAAACCACAGTGACCGAGAGGGGCAAATCACGGTAAAATACATTTCCACGTGCTATGAAGAGAGGGTACAAAACATGACAGAGAATGCGTACAAGAGATGCTATATACATTTCTATTTCTTAATGATGAAAAAGTTATTTATATTTCATTTTATTTTTGGCCATAGATTATACGAAAGACCACCTAGGATAAAAAAAAAAATAGATAGTCCTGTCATTTCATAGAAAATTCAAGATGTTTCACCTTTATTGAACGGTAGCATGGAAATAAATAGAGATTTAAATGGTTTCATTTTGATTTTTGTTATTCATTTATTCAATGTCGGTAGGAAAATATTTGTTTAGAAAGCTCAAATATGTTTAAAATCTGCTTCTGGATATTTTTTCTTGAAATTAAGGAAATAAAAGAAAATTGTGGTCGCTATATTGGAATAAACGATTCAGTTCGGACGTTTTATTGAACACTTGAATAACATTGTATCCCAAACGAGACTAATAAAGAGCGTAGACTGCAAATGTTTCTTTGTAATTTAGTCTCCTAATTGAGTTATTATTTAAAAGTATTTTATAATCATTTAGATTTAGGTTTGACATCATTAGAAAGAGCATCAAATATCAACATTTCAAGCTTTATGAATACCAAATTTTTATTTTCGAAACTTTAGAATAACTTGATTAAAAAGATATGTTCCTTAGTAATTTAAATTCCTAATAGAGTTATTATTTATTAGAATTTTATCATCATTTAAATTTGGATTTAACATCACTAGAATCGAAACAAAAATCTTCTTTCTTTCAGGAATATTCTAAAATCTATTTTCTGAACTTCATGAATTCCAAATTTTTATTTTAAGTTATAAGAATTCCAAATTTTTATTTCAAATTAACATGTTTAAAAATGTATGTTTCTTTGTCATTTATCTTGATTGAGTTATTATCTTAAAGTATTTTATTATCATTTAGATTTAGGTCTAACATCATTAGAATCAAATCAAAAGTCATTCTTTGAAGGAGCATCAAAAATCGATATTTTAAGCTACTTGGAGGATGCTAAAGAGCGTGGAATATCCGAAGGTCTCTCTGAAGATGTTATCATTGAAGATGAAGAAGAAGACAAAGTTATGAGCGGTGAAGAAGATGAAAAGGTTTAATTTTCTCTGCATTATGAAATTGAAGGAATGTTAACACATTCGCTGCTAGTCAACATAGATATAGGCCATTTACTTATTGTAACAAATATGATTGAAAAGTGGTAAAAAAATATTATTCGTATCAAACTAATTACTAATACTTAGGCAGTTTCTGATTTTAAAAAATATTTTGATTTTGTGACAGTATTACAGCTTAAATTCTCTCCATAATTAGATGGTGCATGATGTGTAAAACTAAAAACAAAATACCTAATAAGTGACAAAATGCATTATTTTTGTTTTTGTTGTTCATTTACGTCGCACTAGAGCTGCACAATGGGCTATTGGCGACGGTCTGGGAAACATCTCTGAGGATGATCCGAAGACATGCCATCACAATTTTGATCCTCTGCGGAGGGGATGGTTCCCCCGCTTCGGTAGCCCGACGACCTGCGCGCGAAGCATTATTTTTGCATGATACTTTATCAGTAACTATTATTTGACACGCTCCGCGATGGCTCAGGGGATAGAGAGTTCCCCGTCCTATGAGGTGAAACATGTTCGAATCCCAGCGATGGCAGGTTGATACGAATTCCGCACCCAGGCTTGCACCGACCACAGTTCTCACTTGAAAATATCCTCAGTGGTAGACGGGTCATGGATTAGAATCCCCTTGCTGTCTGGCTAATCGTGGGTGGTTCTCGTGGTCTTCCTCTCCATGAAACGCAAATGCGGGTTAGTTCCATTAAAATGTCCTCCACGAAGGCATATTTATCCCAATTCTTGATCCAGGAGATCCCTTGTCTTCTGGATTGGGTTCAAAAATACAAGGCTATGGACTTGAACATTAGTAGTCGTAAACCGAAAAAAACTGGATCGGTTGTTCAACGACGGTTACATAAAAAAAGAAAAATATTTCATACTAATGAATTATAAGTTATTTAGAATTATCTATAAACTATCATTCACATTATATATTTTTTTCAATGAATACATAAGCTAAAAATTCAGAATACCATAATTTCACAACTTGCTTCTAACCTTTATTCCATGCCAATACCATTAGTTACACCTAAAAGTAATGCCAAATAAAGCGGTGTGAACGCGTGACTGGCTACTGAAAAAATAGACAAGGTAAATGATGGCTTCTATCGTCATCCTCTCCTTCTGGCGGATTCGAAACATTCTTTTAAACTGAACCCTTATCATAGCGCCCCCCGAAGAACGTAAAGTGACGCATGTTTTTTGTCAAATTTTTACACAAAAAAATTTCATTTAACTAGCTGCTGGTTTGGATCGAATGTAATCGAATGGCTTGATGCAATAGAATAATTAATTTTCACTTCAAAGCCAGCTAAGACGTAATATAAACTGCTGTTTGTAGAAAATGCAACACCATGAAAGAATCATCAGAATCAAATGAAATTTAATGCAGAAACGACTTGTACTGATACAAATAAATGATGAAATTTTCAAAACAAAAGAAACAAATTAAGCGTCCGAAATCAGTATTTGGTGCAGCCACCACGCGCTGCAATAAGTGCTGCTATACGACGTGGCATGGAGTCAAACAGATGTTGAATATCTGCTTGAGGAAGAGAATTCCATATCGCTTGTATGCGCAACCAAAGTTCGTCTTTGGAAACTGCAGGACGCGGATCACGAGTGAGACGCCGACCAACCATATCCCACACGTGCTCAATAGGCGACATATCCGGCGAATAAGCAGGCCAAGGAAGAAGTTGCATGCGTTGTGCTGAACAGAAGTCTCTAACAGTCCGCGCAACATGTGGGCG